GGAGCCTGACGTGGGGCTCCATCTCACAAGCATGAGATCATGACCTGAGCTGAAATCAAGAGTCAGACGCTCAGCCGACTCAGCCACCCAGGCGCCCCTGAAGTGTTTAACTTTGTAAGAAACTGCCAAGTGTCCTGCAAAGTGGCCGCACCATTTTGCCTCCCCACCAACAAACAGGGAGCGGTCCTGTTGCTTCACATCCTGTCCAGCCTCCGTGGTTGTCAGTGATCACATTGTAGTCATTCTGCTAGGAGGCAGTGATGTCCTCGTCGTCTTCCTTTGCGGCTCCCTGATGACAAGGGGTGTGGATCACCTTTTCACGTGCTCATTTGCCATCTGTATACATTCCCTTTTGCCCACTTTTCAGTTAGTTATCTTCTTACTGTTGAGTCTCAAGAGTTCTTTGTATACGTTTCTTATGTATTTGTATATATTTTGCGAATATATAAGTTCTTTTTCAAATATGTCTTTTGCATATATTTTCCCCCAGTTTCTTCTAGCTTGTTTTTCTCATTCTCTTAACTGTCTTTTGCAGAGCAGAAGTTTGTGATTCTAATGCAGTCCAATTTTATCAATACTTTTCTTTCACGGATTACGCTTCTGACGTCGTGTCTAAAAAGTTTGCCAAACACAAGGTCACGTGGCTTTTATAAGACGTTAGCTTCCAGTAGTTTTATACTTTTGTGTTTTACATTTGGGTCTATGATCCATTTTGGGGACATTTTTGTGAAAGATACAAGGTCAGTGTCTGGTTTTCTGCTTTTGTTTTTATTCGTTTTTTTGCATGGAGGACCAGTTGCTGCAGCCTGTTTTGTTGAAAAGCTGCCCTTTCTTTGTTGATCTGTTTGGGGTTTGTTTTGTTGTGTTTGTTTTGCCTACGTCACCCTGTCTTGATTTCTGTAGCATTATGGGAAGTCTTGGAGTCGGATAGTGCCGCTTTGTGCTTTCTCGTCAGCATTGTGTGGGGTATTCTGGGATTTCATTGGGATTGTGCAATCTGTAGGTCAAGTTGGGAAAACCTGACATTTCGACAACATTGAGTCTTCCTATCCGACACGGGGTAGGTACCTCCAGGGTTTAGTTCTTTGGTTTCATTCATCAGACTTTGATAGTTTTCCTTGTGTAAACCTTATATATGTTTTGTTAGATTTAGATCTAAGTGATTCATTTTTCTGGACCTAATATGATGGCACTGTTTTTAATTTCAAATTCCAGCCGTTCATTGCTGGTATAAAGGAAAGCAGTTGAGTTTTGATTTGTATTAACCCTTAGCTCAGCTCCCAGCAGCCAGTTTCATAGTCTCTGTTTCCAGACATTTGACTTTTTTTTTCTTTAATTTTTTTTAACGTTTTTCTTTATTTTTGAGACAGAGAGAGACAGAGCACGAGCAGGGGTGGGACAGAGAGAGAGGGACACACAGAATCCGAAGCAGGCTCCAGGCTCCGAGCTGTCGGCACAGAGCCCGACGTGGAGCTCCAGCCCACGAACCTCGAGATCATGACCTGAGCCGGAGTCAGATGCTCAACTGGCTGAGCCACCCAGGCGCCCCAGGTTGTTCTGTTTTTAATTTTTTGAGGAACCTCCATACTGTTTTCCATAGCGGAAGTGACGTTTTGGTTTTGTTTTTGATCAGTTTGTTGGAATTTTCTACATAGATGGTCCTGTCATCTGTGATCAGATACAGTTTTCTTTTTCTCTTCCTGATTTGTCTACCTGTTATATCCGTTTCTTTTCTCACTGCACTCTGCATTAGCTCCGACTTTCAGGAATGGTAAATCAGTGGTGTGGAGGGAATGCCCTCGCCTTGTTCCTGATCTTACTGGGAAAGTTGCTAGTTTGTCGCCATTAAGTGTGATGTTAACTGCAGATACTTTGTGGATGTTTTTTTATCAAGGTGAGGAAGTTCCCTTCTATTTCTCGTTTACTGAGTTCTTATCATGAATGGGTGTTGGGGTTTGTCAAATGCTTTTCTGCATCTACTGATGTGGTCATGTGATTTTTCTTTAGTCCGTCGGTGTGGCGGATTGCCCTCAATGATTTCTGAATGCTGAACCAGCCTTGCCGGCCTGGGATCACCACCACCGGCTGTCTTCTGTATTTATTTTTATACCTTGTTGGATTGTGTTTGACAGTATTTTGTTGGGGAGTTTTGCATCTATATTCGTAAGAGATAGTGGTCTTTGATATTACTTGTGATATTTTTTTTCTGGGTTTGCCATTAGGGTAATGCTGGGCTCATAGAAGGAGTTATTATACTCTAGGGCCTACCAAAGCCAGCTACCGCAAGTTTAATTTTCCTCTTTGATAGGTGTAGACAATTTTTTCTTCTTCTTAAGTTTATTTATTTTGAGAGAGACAGTGCAAGCAGGGAAGGGGCAGAGAGAGGGGGACAGAGGATCGGAAGTGGGCGCGGGGCTTGAACTCAGAAACTGTGAGATCGTGACCTGAGCCGAAGTCAACCATTCAACCGACTGAGCCACCCAGGCGCCTAGGTTTGGACTACGTTTAAGATTGTAGAACTCTGATTGGCTGGCTCTGTAAAGCTGCCCTCTATTCTGCAATTGAAGATCTTATGTAAAATCTTTTAACTTAAAAAAAATCCCATGCTATTTTGTTTTAAAAAGCTGGCACTGGGTATATGTGTTGTCATGCCTACTCTGTGTACGTTGCAGTAGAAACTATAACTTTCTTACAGATCTGGCAGTGAGTGAAGTAAAAATGCGTTCTAAGGTCAGGTTTAAAAGTGTTAATTTTCTGTCATTCTGGTATCACACTGCCGTTTCATCCGCCAGTGCTGCGTCTCTTCTCTTGGGTGTAATTAACTGGCGGCCTTCACACACAAGACCAAAAACCTGTAGTTCCCTGTAGCAGAGGTCGGGAATTCACGATCTGGTTCTTCGGGAAATCAAGCAGAAGAGAAGGGCTGAGACTGTTTGTCTAATTCTCTTTGTACTACTTGCACTCAGGGCCTAGGGTGAGGCAAGCAGGGCCCCTCAAGTACCACTGGAGGGTTCAAGGTGGCCTTACGGTCAAGCTCACACCGTGGCTGGCCCTGCACTGGCACCGCCCTGAGCGCGAGCACCTCCTTAAATTTTGTTCCCCAGGTATGAGCTTGCCTTGCTAGTCCCTGCCTGCCTTTGCACACTTAAGCCGATTTTCGTGGGTTATGCAGTTAATTGCCAACTAGGTCTCTTAACTAAAGTAATGCGCATTACAGGAAGCCTCATAGGACTGCAGAAGAGCCTCAAAAGAGTTTATTGCAAAAGCAGTCTGGAGCTTTCTTCGAATGTAACTTTCCCTGTATTCTTAGAACTTTCATAGAATGCAGACAGCTGGGAGCTTGGAAGTTAGGCACCTTATTATTTTATACCACCGTAAGGGTATCTGCTTTCCACCTGTTCCTGTTCTGCCACGGCCTCTGCGTGCCCGCACCGGTTGTCATCATAAAGGCAGGAGCAGGAACTTCTGTCGGCGTGTGTCCATGCGGTCCGGCACCTCCCATGGTAACCGGGTTAAAGACGGAAATGCCTGCTGGCGGTGTGGGTGCCTTGTAAGTTGTCTCAGCCTGCCGGCTGGGGGGCGGGGGGCAATTGAACATCAGAGGTCTTAACAAGGTACATCCCTTCTCATCCAGTTATTGTGCTTTAAGACCTTTATCCTAAGGAACTAATCTGACAGGTGCAGAGGAAAGACACAGGGGAAGAGATGATTGCGGCGACACCCATAATATTGAACAATTGGAAACAACATAAACGTCTAGCAGGAAATTTGTGAAGCAAATGGTAATACAACAGTGTAACGGAATACTAGACAGCCGTTATTAATATTTATATTTTAATGTCTTATATTTATTAAAAGGATTCATTGTTAATGGAAACAAGCAGATTACAAAACAGGACTTCAGTGTGCATTTAAATTACATTAATCTAAATGTCACAATACCTGCTTTACCCCTTTCTTAATTTCCAGTGAATGAAGGACATGGTACTTACAGTTCCTGTAGAATGGTGGCTTGGAGCAGTACGTTCTTGTTGTCCACTCAGTTTTGTGGGACGGGGATCTGAGAGCAGTTGGTGGTGTTTCTGGCTCAGGATCTCTGTGGGGCTGCGGTGCCTAAAGCCTTGCCTGGGCGGGCTGGCTCGTCCACGTGCTGGGGGAGCCACTCCTGGGCTGGCTCGTCCCCGTGCACGGAAGTTAGTGCTGGGTCTTGGTGGGAGGTGTCAGGTCCCTGGTACGTGCACCTCTCCTTAGAACTCCTTGACTGTCCTCCTGACGTGGCGTGTGACCTGGGAGTGCAGGGAGAGAGCGGCATGCCTGTGCGAGGCGGTCCTGAAAGTCACATACGTTTTTGTCGGATTCTGTTTGTCTATCCGGTCCACACTCAAGGTCGGGGGTGGGGTGGGGGTGGGGGTCACGCTCCACCTCTTAAAGGGAAGCAACCCCAGAGACCTTGTGGAAATATGCTGAAGCCACCGCAGAAGGGGTATCCGTTTCAGCTAAGTTGTAAATGCTGGTAACACACGACTTACATGTGCCAGTCTTCTGTCTTAACAGCCTGTTAGGATTTAAATATTATGGCTTTCCTTCCCGCCTACTATATTGAGTCAGTGGTTACTGGCTATGTAACTGTTATGCAAATATGAAGCAGTTAAAAAGCAAAGATTATCAGCAAATAAATTTTCAGTAGATGTTTTCGTGAAACGTAGTTGACTCAGACAGTTTTGTAGCGCTGCGCCTTAGAAACCTAAGCAGGTGTCATTTATTTGCAGCAGTGGGAATTTACTTATTTAGATCATTTACCTCTTTGATCCAGCCACCCTTGGAGAAGGGGGGGGGCACACAGTCGGGCCAGGGGGCGTAGATAATTTTGGGCTGAGTGTCTGTGGGTTGTCACCATGACAACCGTAGGGCAGGAGGCAGTCACGTGAGGGTATAGAAGAGAAGTGAGTGAAGTAGGGAGTATCACAGTAAATTTTGGGCCATCTGGGAGCTCTTTGGGATGGTGGTATACCAGAATGGAGGCACGAAGCTTGTTTTCCTTTTCGTGCTGTGTGTATCCTGTTTCCAGAACCCCAAGCAAATGGCATAAGGTTAGTGCCCTAGGCTTTTGTATGCTGGACTGGGATCCTTGCTACTATGTATATATGGACCTCGTTGCCATCGGGGAGGAGGGACAGCACGGACAGAAGTGGCCAGCCGCGGAGAAGTGGTAATCACCTACAGATTGCTCAACGTGGCTGGAGTCAGTGTTGGAGAGAAGGCCGGTGAGAGGCGGTCAGGGCCCAGATCACAAAGGTTCTGTGGGTCACACTCAGGCATATCCAGGCATGTGGGTGAGCCAGTGAGGGATTTTAAGCAGTAAAGTGACTGTGGGCAAACGGGTTTTGGAGAGATGAGTGTGGGGCAGTGCGGGTGGTCGGAGGCCAGGCGAGGGAGGGAGGCAGCCGCAGTTGTGCAGACGAGTAATGCGGGCCTGACGCACCGTGGTGGGCACCTGAGTGGAGGGGCCTTCGAGAGCCCGTGGACGAGGTAGAATCGGTGAGCTCTGCAATGAGAGGGGGCCCTTCAGGCGTTGGTCTGGGATTACCGGAGTGGAGAGTGAGGCCGTGAACCAAGACGTTAAATTCCTAGGGAGTTGTTCGGTTTGAGTGGTGGAGGGTGTTCAGGAAGCGCCGGTCTGGAGCTTTGGGTAGAGACCCGGAGTCCCTCAGTCCATCAGCAGGTGGTGGAAATTGTGCGATGCACAGAGTCCTCAGGAGAAAGGGTTCGCTCAGAAGGCTCCGAACAGAACTCCCACGGCTGCCAGCATTTACACAAGAGGCAGAGAAAGGGGCGTGCAAAGGCGATCGTGCCATCAGGACCTGGTGAGCGGAAGGCTAGCGTGATGTCCGTGTGTGGGTGGCCACCCTCGCCCCCAGACAGTAGCGTTAATGAGGGAATGCGCGGAGGCAGAGTGGGAAAAAGCAGGGACTGGTGGAGGACCGCGGACCTGTTGAATGAGGCTTTATTTTGAGGCCTTTGTGTTTTGCTGTAGCCACTCCTCTCTGCCTTGTGTTTAGACTCGATGTTATCCCAAAGCAGAGTCAAGTCGTTCCATCTCTTTTCTAAAATTAAAATTTTGTTTTATGTTTAAAAATTACCGTACATGGGGGCGCCTGGGTGGCTCCGTCGGTTAAGCGTCTGATGCTTGATTTCGGCTCAGGTCTTGAGCTCACTGTTCGCGGGATCAAGCTACGTGTCGGGCTTGAGCTGACAGTGTGGAGTGTGCTTGGGATTCTCTCTCTCTTCTCTCTCTGCCCTTCCCCCACTCGTTCCCCCTCTGTCTCTCAAAAAACATAAACTTAAAACAACTTGAAAATTAAAAAAAATACATGCTCATTGTGTGGACTTGGAAGTATTTATGTTTATTCTAAAAAAAAATTTTTTTTAATGTATATTTTTGAGAGAGCGAGAGAGAGACCAAGCGCAAGCAGGGGAGGGGCAGAGAGACAGGGAGGCACAGAATCCGAAGCAGGCTCCAGGCTCCGACTGAGCCACCCAGGCGCCTCCGTTTATCCTTTCTTTTTGGACATTTAGGTTGTTTGTTTTTATCGTGAACATCTTTAGAGCCAACAATGTAATTATTTTTTAGGATAAATTAAAGAAGTTGAATTGCTTGGTCAAAGTATGCACATTGTAAAGGCTTTTGATACACTTTGTTCTCTGGAAAACAGGAATCAGTTTCTATTCCCTGGTTGCTTGGGTTCAGTGCTGCCTTTGCTTCTTTGCCCCGCTGTCAGCCTCTCCAGCCTCTCGGGCCTTTTCTCTCCAGGGTGTTTCCGTTTCCTTCTTCCCTCCTTACAGGTAGGCAGGCCACCGTCCTCGTCCTCGGTATTTGTCCCCGGCAGGGTGCTTTGCCCCTGTGCTCTCGCTTCTTGACTTTTTAATTTTTTTTTCAACGTTTATTTATTTTTGGGACAGAGAGAGACAGAGCATGAACGGGGGAGGGGCAGAGAGAGAGGGAGACACAGAATCGGAAACAGGCTCCAGGCTCTGAGCCATCAGCCCAGAGCCCGACGCGGGGCTCGAACTCACGGACCGCGAGATCGTGACCTGGCTGAAGTCGGACGCTTAACCGACTGCGCCACCCAGGCGCCCCTTGACTTTTTAATTTAAATGTGTTAGCATTCCTTGGAAGTTCTTCCAAGGAAGAAATCAGAGCCAGAGAGTCCAGAACTTTGGCAAAAACTGCAGGGCTCGGGTGTCGGACCACTGGTCTGTGGTCCAGGACGCGCTGCTGGGGGTTGTGTGGCCTGCACACGCCGTGTCTGCCATCTCGCTGCGCTGCGGTTTCCCGTGGAAGGTCCAGGAGCACGTCCCCCAGGCCCTGGGAAGGTGGCTCCAATAAAACCCTACTTCCTTTTGAGTTAATTTTCCTTTTAATGAAGCTTTAATGCTCTAATGTTTTTAAGGGGCATCAGTAAACCCTGGTGTGTGGGCGAGCAGCACAATTCATACCACATACTTACTGCAAAACTTGAAGTTGTGTGGGGCGCCTGGGTGGCTCAGTCGGTTGAGCGTCAGGCTTCGGCTCAGGTCGTGATCTCGCGGTCTGTGAGTTCGAGCCCCGCGTCGGGCTCTGTGTTGACAGCTCGGAGCCTGGAATCTGCTTTGGATTCTGTATCTCCCTCTCTCTCTGCCCCTCCCCCACTCATGCTCAGTCTCTGTCTCAGAAATAAACATTAAAAAAAAATTAAAAAAGACAAACAAAACATGAAGTTGTGAAAAGCGTGATGGGAGCCTGAAAAAATGTTATCTCTGTGACCAACTGCAGTTTCATTGCTTATCTTTTCTGGGCTTCTCTTTTTCACAACTTGTAATACCAAAGTATTTCTTGTTAATCAGAAAGTCAGACTGAATTACTTTTAATATTACCTTGCTCTAATAATGTTTCCATTTCCAGTCAGGGGCCTTTAAAGCAGTGTTAACTTTTTTTTTAATTGAAAAAAAATTATAAAAACAATGAGACAGATCCATCCATCTAAAGACTCCTGATTTCCCCACTGTTACCAGTTTCTTCAGTGTCTGGAACTAGTGTAAACATAAATAAACATATCCCCCCATCACCTTTTCAGTGATAAGGAGAGAACGTACTACAGTTCTCCTGAGTGCTGTATCTTTTTTTTAATTAATTAATTAATTTTTTATTAAAAAAATTTGTTTTTAATGTTCATTTATTTTTGAGAGAGAGAGTGAGACGGGGGAGGGCCAGAGAGAGGGGGACACAGAATCGGAAGCGGGCTCCAGGCTCCGAGCTGTCAGCACAGAACCCGACGTGGGGCTCGAACCACGAACCGTGAGAACATGACCTGAGCCGAAGTCGGACGCCCACCCGACTGAGCCCCCCAGAAGCCCCTCCTGAGTGCTGTGTCGTAATGAGTCCACACCAGCACCTGTAGGTCTCTGGCGCTCTGTTTCCCAGGTGCGTCACGTTCCACTACCTGGTTTGTATCCTGTGAGTCTTTCCAGGTTTATCGGAATGGGATTTAAACTGTTGCATTTTGCTTTGGATACTTTATTTTTTAAAGTGGGCTCTTTTCTGATTATAAAATAATGTTTATTACAGAAAATTTTAAATTACTGCCATAAATAAAGAAAAATTACTTCTTTGGAACCCTCCCCTCTATTTAGAAGTAATACACTATTGATATGTGGATAAATGTTCTTCCAGTCTTTTTCTATATATTTTTTGAATTAGGAATCATTTTGCACATTTTGTTTTATAAATATGATATTTAACACTTACGGTATTTGATGCACCTTTAAATACTTTTTGCTTGCACGTGAAGTTAGTTTCTCTTGGATTTTCATAGAGGTTCTTAGGAAAAACCTGCAAATTGTAGGTTGTGCATTATTCACAAATAATACTTTTGCTAGCATTTAACATTTTAATTAACTCAAAACGAAGTGTTTTACTTGACTATTCTTTGAGTTGTGTAAAACTGCTCTTCTGTTAGTGCATGAGAGTGGGAAAATACCAACTTAAAACAGGTGTGAAACTGATTATTCTGTTTACACTGTTAAATGTAGTAAATTGCTAACGGAAAATAACCCAAATAGTGAAACAGAGGAAGCTTCATAATTGCTTTAAAAATCAAGATATTAATAAGCATGCTGAAGTTCTTTTTATATGGTTAGCGGTCTGTCTGAGCATTTGGTTTATGGAAATTACATTATATAAATGTACTTTGACTTCCACTCAGATTTTCGACCATAAATTTTTAAATTCGGATAGTTAATGAAATCTGATTTAAACTATATATGACTGATTTTTTTTTAAACTTCATTTTGTTACCCCTAAATGTGTTTAACAGCCAAAAACAAAAAACGTGTTTTGTCCTATTGAAAAACATCTTTGTTAATGGCATTTTTGAAGTTTGGCCACATTCAATTTTCAGAGGAGACAAGATAATGTGTCTAAAGCTCAAGGCTCAAATAGGGAGGGAAGTTTGCTTCATTCACTCTTGTTTACATGTTGAGGAAGAGAGGTAGTGTCACAGCTGTGGAGGGAAGATGAGGGTCGAAAGGACCGTGGGCGCCGACTCGTCACGCCAGAGACACTTGATGAGTGTGTTTTGTGAACTGGTATAGAACTGCTCCTGAGAATTCCCTGCTCTTTCTAGGCCTGTAGGGTTTAAAACGCAAGCGGTGCTTTCCAGTATGCATGTAACGAATCGGAGCGGTCACAGTCTCGGGGTTCTTCTTGGTGGTGCCTCCCTGTTCTTTTCCTCCCAGCCACTTCGTATGGACTTGTTTACGTGGAGCTGGTTTTGAAAATTTATGTCGTCTTGTGGCTTCACTGGTTTATTACAAAGGTGAGAACGTGTTCCATGGGCATGGGTGATAACTCAAGCAGTAGAAAATAGGAGAGGTCCACGTCCCCCCCCCCCCCCCCCCTCACCCCCCCCCCCCTCCCCCCCCACCGGGGCCGGAGAATAAACGGGTGTTCGGGGGGGGGGGATGGCCGGGGGCATGCTCCTCTCTCGTTTAAACACCTGCTAGAGCATGTGAAACAGGCTGCAGCACTCCTCTTACCGCCTGATAACCCATC